TTCAGTGTAGTTGTGGTCAGGTATTGCTTTGAACATGAGGGCCTCACTGTGACCTCCGCACATGTGAACGGGACTCATGGTGTCTTGGAGATGCCACATCACATTTGTGGAAATCTGAACAAGGGCTTCCCATGACAGTTCAGCAGAGAGGTCTTTGGTGGAGAGCCTGTTGGCTAGTGAGTTTCATGAAGTGGCCTATCACTGAAGTGGCTTTGAGCCTCCCAAATACAGATGAGTGGCCAGTTGGATGAGAACTTCTGGTTCTATCTTCTTCAGTCCAAGGACAAAACTGTTCGTGAATCTTCTTGTGCATGGTTAGGATCCATGGCTTGGTCCACCCTTCCTTTCTTCTCCACTGTTCCTTTGCTCTTCCCTTTTCTCCTTCCTTTTATTTATTTTGAGACAGGGTTTCACCCAGCCTAGGCTGGGCTAGAAATCACATATTTTAGGATGATGTTGAACCTCTGATATCCTGCTTCAGCCTCCCAAATGCTGGGGTCACAGGCATGTGCCCCATGCCCAGTTTATGCAGTGCTGGCTTAAGTGTAAAACTTCAGATATGCTAGGCAAGCACTATACCAACCGAGCCACATTCCTGCCCTATTTTCTTCCTTTTGTTGCAGGTGTGTGTGTGTGTGTGTGTGTGTGTGTGTGTGTGTGTGTGTGTGTGTAAAACATTTCCTGGTGTTTGACTCTGTGTGTGAAACTGTACTGGGCTCTGTGACAATGAACAAGGCGGTCACAGTCCCTACATGACTTGGAGAAACAGTAAGAGAAAATGTTTGCTGTTGGACACCCATGAAGCTCCATGTTGTGTGTGCTGTAGCGATCTACATTCTTCTCCAAACAGCTATGACCCTCTTACCATTCTTCTTCTCTTTCTTTCATTTCCACATTATTTCAAATAGCTACACAGCTATTTATAGACTGAATGATAGGACTTTGACCTTTAGTGTCAGTTACATCTGGACAAAAGGGAAGAAGTCTCCACTGAATCTGAAATAATACTCTCCTGAAGTCAAGTTAATTTGGATTTGGGTGGTATTCTGTCAGGAGCAAAGTCTCTGCATTCCCCTCAAGCATCTTTCTGGTTGCCTATTTGAGTTCACTCAAGATATTTCTTCCCTTACGTCTAGTATGGGCTATGCTAAGGAGCACATTTGCCTGACCACAAAAACCCTGGGAAGTATAGTTTGCATTATATAGATACAGAAACAGAGGCTAAGAGAAACTGTGATTTGCACAGGTGATTCACGTGGTAATGATAGCTCTTGGAATCCAAATCCACATTTTGTCCACACACTTGTTATATGTAACTGTGCAAACACACACACACACACACACACACACACACACTGCATGTATATATTCTATGATTAAATATGCATGAATAAAAAGGCACAGAGATGCATATCTGTGATCTGTGTCACATATACCTGTGGATATATAAGCATATGTACACACATAAACACCTGACTCTGTATTTCCTAATATATGTATAATGGGCATGATGGTTGCCATGCGCTCCTGCTCCATTATTGCTACTGCTGTAGTAGTCCTGATGCAAGGTCTTGCTATACAGATCACCACTATGTGCAGTAATCCTAGCCTCTGTTCCTGGAGTGGTAGAATTAAAGGCATGCTCCACCACACCTGGCTCCCATCGTGGTACATCATAATACAATGTTTGAGAATAAAGATTTGTTGGGCAGTGGTAGTGCATGCCTCCTGTAATCCCAGCACTAGGGAGATAGAAGCAGGTGGATCTCTGTGACTTTGAGACCAGCTTGGTCTACAGAGCAAGTTCCAGGATAGTCAGGGCTACACAAAGAAACCCTGTCTTGAAAAACCAAAACCAAACAAAATGAAGATTTGTTCTAGCAAACATTTTGCTCCAGGTATGAGGGTAACCTTGATGTCACCCGTCCATCTTGTTCTGATTAGTTGCCTTATCATAAAACCTTTTTTTAATGCTGACACGAGGTCAATAAATAGATGGCTTCACTGATACACACTGAAAACATTAAGGAGTAGTTGTTTATTAATTGATACTCTTTGAACACTATGTATGTGTACTGGTTTGTTTTTGTTTGTTTTTTTGTCAGCTTGTCACAAACCTAGACATACCTGGGAAGATGAAATCTTAATTGTAAAAAAAAAAAATCTTAAAAGGAAAAAAACTTCATCAATTTGGCCTTTGAACAAATCTATGGGGGTGTTTCTTTGATTAATGATTGATACAGAAGGAGCTGGACTATCCCTGGACAGGTTGTCCTAGGGTACATTAAAAAGCCAACTAAAGGCTGGAGAGAAGGCTCAGCAATTGAGAGCACTGGCTGCTCTTCCAGAGGCCCCCAGTTTAATTTCCAGCACCCACATGGCAGCTCACAACACTCCAATTCCAGAGGACCTGACCCCTGGCAAAACATCAATGCATGTAATAAACAAACAAATAAATAAATACATTTTACAAAGCAAACTAAGCAGGGCAGTGGTGGTGCATGCCTTTAATCCCAGCACTTGGAAGGTGGAAGCAGGTAATTTGTGTGACTTCAAGGCCAGCCTGGTCTACAGAGTGAGTCCTAGGACAGCTACGGCCTAGACAGCCTAGGACAGACAAACCCTGTCTCAAACTCTCCTCCCCTGGAAAAGCAAACTGAGCAAGCCATGGGGAGCAGGCAAGTAAGCAGCTCACCTTTATGGCTTCTGTTTCATTTCCTGCCTACCAGCTCCTGCCCTGGCTTACTGCAGAGGACTTGGGATATGCAAGCCCAATAAATCCATTTGTCCTCCAGTTGCTTTGGGTTGTGGAGTTTATTGCAGCACTAGAAATGTAACTAGGACAGTGTGTATACATATTCTCTCTGACATCAAACTACCAGTCTGAAGATGGGACTGCCATCTGAAACTTTTATTTGTTTATTTATTTTACCTTGAGCAAATAACCATTGGTTCCCCCCATTGGTTAGATAAGAATGTCTCATGTTCTTTCCTGAATATTTGTTAGAACTCTAGGAAACAAGAGTCATCATCTCAGTAGTTTCCTTGTAGCCAATGCTAGTACCTAAGACTTATAGGAATGAGAGTATAATGTGCATATTCCATGATCCAACAACAGCTCAAAACAAACAGCCTCTTTACCCCATTTCCCAGGACCTATGTATCTGTTTAGATGATATAGAGGTGACAGGATTTGGCATTAAAGAAGCCCACTTGGCAAAACAAACTTCATAAATATCACAGTAAATAATGATCCTGCCAACATTGGGAGGAGACTGGCATAATGGCCACATAATGAAATCATTTGCTAAAATGACAGAAACCATACAAATTGGGGGATTTAGAATTGGGGAACTGATCCCAGTGAGGGAAGATGGGTTCTAAAAGGAGTTGCATATAAGTGTTTTCTTATGCTTGACAGGAGGTGGTAGAAGAGGGCAGAGGACACTAGAAGTTGACCTCAATCACTCTCCATTTTTATTTTATTTTATTTTATTTTATTTTATTTTGTGGTAGGGTCTTTCACTGAGCCCAGAGTTCAGATTGGCTGTGCTGGGTTCATCCATCTCTGCCATCCCCTCATCCTACACCTTGTTAGAAAAACACCATGATGCCTGGCTTTTGCTGGGGATCTAAACTCTGGTTCTCTTGCTTGTACCTGGTGGATGTCTTACTGAGTCCTCTCTTTAGCCCATAAGGTCAGTTCTTAATACTGAATTCTTGTAACCAAAGAAAAACTGGAAGACGTTACTACCACATAACAGACACTAAATATGGTTTCTTTTCCTGCACTGCCTCAGGCAGTTAGTCCTAGGATACCACGACCAAGACAACTTATAAAAGAAATCGTTTAATTTGTGGTTCATGGTTCCAGAGAGTTCCAATCCATGACCATGGCGGGGAGCAGGACAACAGGCAGGCATGTTGCTGGAGCAGTAGCAGACATCTCACATCTTGAGACACAAACATGAGGCACAGAGCTAATTGGGAATGGCTTCACCTCCTCCAACAAGGCCACGCCTCCTAATTTTCCCCAAACACTCCCACCAATTGAGGACCGAGTACCCAAACATATGAGCACGGGGGGCGGGGCTTCTCATTTAAACTACCACATCTGCCTACCCATGGCTCTAATTTCTAGAACCCTAGAAGGAGCAAATTCAGACACTTAGATCCACCCTCCAGCACACATAGTGCCGCCCACTTGTCTCCATATAGTGGTTCTCAGGGAGTCTGATCCAGGAGTCAATAGAGAAGGGGAAAATTAGCTGTGCCCACCCATGCTTAGGAGAGCAGGTGGGTGCTACGAACTCCGCCTCAGCCTTCTTTTTATTTTTGCTTGTAATGGAGTCAAATGGATTTCCATAGAGAGACAGACAGAACCCAGTGTAAGGTCAGAGCAAAGGCCTGAAAGTAATGCTTGTGCTTAAACTCTGGGTCGTCTCTCGTCTCTGGATGACCTTCAGCTGTTTGTCGCAACTCCCTAAACCTCAGTGTTTGTTACCTAAAAATTCGGTATCAAGGTACCTGGGATTAAAGGATAACCAGTCACATTCACTGGATGTAGACCCCAGAGTACAGTGCTGGGCACACAATAGCTGGTTACAAACCTAGTCCGCTGCGCCCACGAGGGCGAGCTATTGTTGCTAATAACATCGAGGAAAGAGAGTTAAGCCTCAAAAGGCAGTTGCCTCCTTCCCAGATCTCTAAATCAGGCAGGAAACCAGAGTTCTCGAACTTAAAAGGGACTTTGGGTGGAGGGTGGGTAGAACCTGTAACGCGTGGGACCCGAGATCCCCTGAGTGGGCCGAGGCAGGGAGAGAGGCTCGAGATCGCTTGGCCAGCTCTGAGAAGGTCCCAGTAGTCTCCTTTCCAGGTCAGGAGGGTCCTGTGGAAGCGAGGTCCCTAGCGTCCCGGGCCCCCCCAGAGTCCCAGGGCGTCGCCCGGTGCAAGCGAAGGAGAGGAGGGGCAAGCGCGGGACTTTCCCCGCCTCCCTCCTCTTCCATAAATCACCGCAGCCGCGGCAGCGGCGGAGCCGGGAAGTGTACGGAGCTGGAGCGCAGCGTGGTGGCACCAGACACCTCCCTTTCCCCAGCCGCTTTCTTTCCTTTCTCTTCTCTCACTTGGATCTTTTAAACCTCCCTCTCCCTCCTCGCCGGGAGACCGCGCCAGCCGCGCCGCCGCGCCAGCACTGGCAGTGCGGTCGCCGTCTCCGGGCTGCGCCGGGACTCCGGGAAGCGAAGGCGGCGGGGCTCCGCCCGGGCTCCCAGCCGCCCCGGCCTTCGGGCGCCACGGTCTCGGAGCCGCCGTCGCCGAGCGATGGTGACCGCCCGCGCGCCCGCGCTGCAGCCGGGCGCCCCCTAAGTTTGCCAGCCACCGCCGCCGAGCCGCGAAGCCGGGAGCGCAGGAGACAGGAAAGTTTGGCGGGCTGCGCCTCCCGGGGCCAGCGCCCGGAGCCGGTCGGCGGGGAGTGGCCGGAGGCGGCATGGCCCGCGAGCCCAAGGAAGAGAGGACCGTGAGGCCGACCCCTCTGGTCCGCCGCTGTCCCCGCTGCCCTGGCTGGCCTGGGGCCTCGCGGCCGCCCCTCTGGCTACTCTGCTTAGTGGCTTGCTGGATCCTGGGCGCCGTGGCGGACGCCGAGGTCTCCATCCTGGACGAAGCACAAGTGTTGGCGAGCCAGATGCGGAGGCTGGCGGCCGAGGAGCTGGGGGTAGTCACCATGCAGGTAAGCGACCCTCTTCGCGCCGCACCACTTGGCAGTGCTTTCTCCCTGCACAGAGCCCAGGGCATTGCAATGAGCACTGTTGCAGTCTGTGGGACTCCTGGTCTCCTGCAGACTCTTCCACATCGAGTCCTGTCCCGTGTACTCATCAGCGGCTGCCCTCCTCTGCAGAGCCTCTGCCCCTCACCCACTTAACACAGCACAGCCCTCCTCTCCTTGGCCCCGGCCCCATTATGTTGACTAAGGATTCTTTGCTCTGCACGCATCTCCTTCCCCAGTATTCACTCTCTTCCTTCGCAGATTTGTTTTCACCCGTCACTCCTGCAAACTCCTTTTCCCTCTTTGTGTCCCCATCCCAAGGCAGCTCGTCCCGCCCGACTCCGGACATTCTCCAAGCCCCCTCCACCCCGCCCCTTTGAAACCTCTCAGTGTCCTGGCGCACGGGTGGGCGAGAGAGGAAAGGTAGATTGTCCGACTGCCAGGGTCCCGGCTGCCCAGCAAGGGCTTGTTCTCCCTGCCCCGCCGCTTTGGGGGAGGGGACGGACCGGCCTGGCAGATCCCCAGCTCCAGTCCCGTAGGGACTCTTTTTGTCGCTTTCTCTTCTTGCGGTTCTCGGTCGCGTGCTGTCCGCTGTGTAATTTTTGGTTTGTGTGTGCCTTTGCAGGGAGGAGGAAGGACAAGGTGAATAGGGCTTCCATTTTTCCCAGCGTGTTTACGGTTTCGGCCTTTCCAGGGTCGTAGATTAATTGCCTTCGGCTGATAAGGATTTCTGACGATGCTACTAATAACCCACAGTTATAAAAATTGCTAGACAGCAACCACCTGGAGATCCTATCGCGCCGTTATTCTCTTCTTGGAAAAGAAGGCCCACTCAATTAGGAACTGATGAGATGACATTCCGAGTATGAAACCAGTCAGTCTAGCTCTCTGTACTCTCCATTTCTGCAGTAATGGTGACGGAATTGGTCTTAGAAAGACCCAAGTTTTTAGGAATGTGTTCTCAATAGGTTTCTGATTTTGAACCTAGAGTGACCAGTCCACCTCCCACAGGCGAGGTGCTTTGCTTCTCTTTGGGATTCAGGTTGCTTTCTTTTTAAACCCGCACTCTGGCCTGCTAAGAGGTTGCAATTTGCTTAAAGCAAGTTCCATAGATCTTCTCCAACCTGGCTTTTCTGAGGTGGCATGATAGCTTCGCTGGGAGGGTAAATTTTAATTTATTTGCAGAAACCCGGGCCTGACATGCAACAGAGGGGGATTCTTTTTTATTTCCACGACAACAGCTACTCTTTTAAAGTGCACCTTTCGATTACTTCATACCACCTTTTTTAGATTTAGGTTCAATTTTAATTTCTTCCGTGTGCATTTTCTGGTTCCTGACTCCCTCTGACCTAGGAGTGGAAGAGCTTGGGGAAGCAAGGAAAGATTTCCAGGTTTGCTTTACATTGGCGAATGCATTCATTTAGACACAAACAGGATTGCGTTTTCCCACAGAGGATCCTCTTTTAGCAAAAGGGATTTCATGTGTGGCAATTTGAGGTTTTGCTTTCAGGATTAGGCGGCCTTTGCCATCTTCACCCCATCTCTAGGCTAGGACGGGAGATGGCACCCCTCCCCTTCCTTTAGTCTTGCTATTTCTAAGATCCTGGCGGCAGTTTTACTGTTTCTCACCCTGGTCCTTGACAAAAGGTGAAATCTGACCCTGACACATTGTCATTCTGGTAGGGAGACACTTTAGACACTTCAGGAAAAAAGCTTGGGTCAGTGGGGGTGTGTGTGCCCAAATGGTCCTTTATCCCCTCCCAACTGGCCTCCTTCTAACACCTTTGCAGCCTCATTGTGGAAAGGGACCTCCTGTGGTCAGGGTTTTGTCTGGCTTCTCTCCTTTTTTGAAAGAGAGGTGCTTACTGTATTTAAATTCCTCTTCTTGAGCATTGCATTGATCTGCCACTTGTTTCTATCTGGGAAATTGCAGGAAGAGTCTCCTTTGAATGTAGCTGGACTGCCAAGTTTGGGGGAAGTACTTGTGCATAATAAACCCAATGCCAGTTAGATTTTTGTCTGTCAGCATAGAACTTGTGAACTTTCAGCTTTGTTCAGTGAATTTGAAATGAACGTGGGCCCATTGCCCAAAATGAAGATGGTGTACCCTCTGTTCTGGAATGTGGGTTCGGTGCTCCAGGGACAAATGGCCTATGTGGATGCTAACTTGAGCTGGATGACTTACACACACACACACACACACACACACACACACACACACACACACACACACTGAGACATCAAGGTTTTGTCCCTTTGCAGGAAAAGAGTGTCTGCTTCCATCCGAGCCCTAGTGAAGTGATTGACTCCATTTATTTAACCTTGGCATTTTATGAGAAACCATCTGTAGACCTGTTAATTTCTAAGTTCCCAGACTTTTTAAGTTGTTTCACTGCTGAAGTTTTCCAAAAGCAACTCTTCGTTTTGAAAAATTGGAAAGTAGCTTCCCAGTGAGGCCCGTTGTGTTACTGGAGCTCCAATAGCAGCACACACTCACAGGAGGCTGGACCCGGGAAACTCACAAAGGCAAAGCAGCCTTTCAGTGCTACGGTTTCCCATGCCATAGATCTTGTGCTTGCTCATAGGGAAGGCTGAAAAGCAGTCTGTCTCACAGATTTTCTCAGAAAAGTTTTCCAACTGGGGTTACCTACTCATGTTTTTGTTTTGATGGTTTTTGTTGCTGCTCCTTTTTAAATATTGGTCCCCGATTTTTAAAGGATGTGACTTACACTAATCAGTTTTACTGGGAAGCTGCATCTGAATACTGCCTCTCTGACAGCAGATAGCATAGATCACGGGTAGAAGTCAGAAACCCAATCATTGTCTCCTCGGGAGTCTGGCCAACTGAAGCCTTCAATGCTGGGGTCTGGGGAGCAGAAAGGGGTGGTGCCAGGGAGACTTGTTTCTGCTTATTCATTTATGCAACAAGCTGTGGTTGAATGGTGACACACAGTGAAAGGAGCCCCATGGGTGTACTGGAGATCGGGGTTCCAGAGGAGCCCCTTTGTGCAGTGGGTGATCTGCTGTGTGGCTTGGATGGGACCAAACACAGGAAGGCTATCACTATGTGATGTCACATCTATCACGAAGAAACTGTGCCTGAGAAGTGTTCATGGATGTGGTAGTTTTTTTTTTTTTTTTTTTTTTTTTTTTAAATCTGTTAGGTGTTTAGGGAATTACAAGAATATACTCATTCCCACATTGCCTTTTAAGGGGGTTTGCCTTAAATACTGGTTCTCAACCTGAGGGTCACTACCCTTTTGGGGTTTTCCAAATGACCCCTTCACAGGGGTTTGCCTAAGACCATTGGAAAACACAGATGTTTACATTATGACTCACAACAGAAGCAAAATTATAGTTATGAAGTAACGAAAACAATTTTATGGGGTGGGGGTCACTACAACCTGAGAAACTGTAATAAAGGGTTGCAGCATTAGGATGGTTGAGAATGGCCGGCCTTGAAGAAGAGGTAAGATTGCACAGGTAAAATGCTTACTCTCCAGTGCCTGCTTGTTAGAAGGCGCATCTACCCTGGGAGCTATTTCACCAGGCATTTTATAAGCCCACTTAACATTATATGACAATTGAGGCTTCCTAACAGCGAGGGTCTGGCTTGGGGCCAGTGTGCCCGCCTTGGTGTTAGCTCTTCTGGGCCGGGCACACTTGCTGTGAACTTGGCAGACATAGCAGCAGGTTGGTCGGACAGCTGCTGCATGGGGCCTGGGAAGAGAAAGAGGGAGGGCATTCCTTTCCGGAAAAAAATATCCCAAGTGCAAGTTGGAGCTCCATCTCCATTAGAGCAGCCAGAACAAACAGGATGATGTCAGGAATAGAAGGGCCTGGGTAGGCAGAGGTGTCCATCAACAACAGTGCAGCAAACAGTGCGCATAGCTTCCAGTGACAGGGAAGCCACCTGTGCAGCAAGACAGCAGTGCAGGAGCCCCACAAACTGTTGCTCATTTTTGTGCGTCTAACAAGGTTGGAATAGAGGGCTTCTTCTCCGGGAGGTCTTGGATTAGACTTTGTTGGTGATAAAATGTGACCAAGGCCTGGCCCCAACTCCTACTCCTATCCTAGTCTCTCTCAGCTGGTGATAGGAGTAGATGCTAAAGGAAGCAGGAGGATAGGGACGGATGGTTTGGTAAGGTCTAGAGGCCTTGAAAGGTACTGACAAGTGTTGGGGGGGCAGGATATCACAGGGCCACAGAACAGCCTTGCTCTGTTCCTGTGGTGGTCAAGGAAGTTAGCTAATTTGGCCTCTGTAGTGAAATGTTCCTAGACAGAGGCAGCAACCTCAATGGTGAGCAGATCAGTGGTCCTCAGGCATTGCTCATCTCTTTGCTGGCATTGGATGAGGATGCTGGGTAGCTTTCATGAGAAGGCTGGCTCTGACTCCACCTCTTTGTGGATCCTGTGTGGCATCGCATCTCTTTGGCCACACATCTGTGGTGACTGGTCATAGATGTCTCTGGGACTAGACTGCAAGCAAAAGCTGATTCAGTCATACTTAGGTGAGGTCTATATTTTTCTCTAATTTGTATACCACCCTAGGCATAACCTGGTTTTGAATGATTTAAATGGGTGTTTAAATACTACACACTATTTTAGAGGAAAATATTTGCAAACACTGTGGACTAGTTTGTGTGTTTGTGTATAAAATCTTAGTGGGGAAGTTGTTCTTTCTTCCTTCTAGAATTGAATGCTCGGAGAAGAAAACAGAACCGTTATAGGTGACTGTGAGTTGAACTTGAACTTAAGAATGAGCTCAAGGAAAAACATATTGAATGACTTTTGCTGACTGCTGTTGTCTTAGTACTGGCTGGACTTCCTCTGCACTAATGCCTGCCTTGGCTGGCTTCATGCCTTGCATTCGTTAGTTTCCTTGCCAGCCCTGCTTGAGTTGTACTTGGGCTTGGGAAGGGGAAGGCCATGGTTTCACACTTCATAACATGTCGGTGCTATTT